AACAGGGGACACAGCTTCTAAATCAGTCTCCATCTCCATCCTGCAAGCCCAGGAGTCCCACGCTCTGTTCTAACCATGGCTAACAGACCCTAGCCAAGGCCAGTGCAAGGCAAAGAACTGCCTGCATACCGGCATCAATGTAACCATTTATTTAAAAGGAGAACTTAACTTCTCGTTGGGGGTGGAGAAGGAGGAGGACACTCAAGAATGCCGGTATTGCCCAGGCAGGCGTGGCTCAGTTGGTGGGGCCTTGCACAGAAAGCTTGCCGGTTCAAGAACACACAGAAAGTCTTTTTCAAGGACTAAAATGCACATACCCAGGTTGTGGACTCCATCTCCGGTGGGGAGTGGGCAGGAGGCAGTCAAACAATGCTGTGCTCTCTCTCACATTGTTGTTTCTCTCTTCTCCCATGCTCTCTCTCGAAAAATCCATAAATTATTTTTTTAAGAAATGAAAAAATAGAATGCTGATATTCACAGAGCTGCTTCTCTCCACCTTTGCTTTTGCATCTCAAGCTCCAGGAGTCACTGAAAAAGCAGGCTCTGTATTTTCAAGAAGTAAATCTCTTGGATGAGTACCTTATGTTCACGAGAGGGAAGGTGCCAGGCTGCGTATTGGAACTCCCGGCCAGAGAAGACAGCTATCTCTCTTGGCACAGGTTCTCGGGGATGAGACCACGTCTAGCGGGGATTTTCTCCAGATTCGACAGCCTTGGCCCTACCCAACCACGCAGCTTCATTTGCACCATACATCACTCGTCACGAGTCTTTCGTTTTTCCTTTCAAGTATCCACAGGTCAAACACTGTGTGTTCCCAACCGTCTGGGAGCTTCTTGGGCCAGGAACGGGACATTCATTTCGCTCAGCACTCCTTTAACATTTCTATTGTGTTCGATTTCCCACTCCCCCTGCCCATGTCCCTGGAGAATAACTTCTTCCTTGTTTTAAAAACTTGGACCACAGTCAAGGTTGATGTGTTTCTCCACTTCGCAGGATATTTTCTTCAGGAGAGACAAAACAGAGGCTGACAGAGTAGCCAAGGCTTGTGAGCGGCCTTAAAAAAGTCAGCAGCCTTATTAAGAACACACAGAAAGTCTTTCTCAAGGAGTAAAATGCAGATGACACAAGGCACCATAAACGGAATTATTCATAAAGGTGGACTGATCCTCAGAAAGGGTCCCCGGCAATGTTTTCTCTGAGTGACCCACTTTAAAAATCTAATTTCATTTGTTTATGGGTGAGGGAAAGGGTCAGAGTTAAGACAGTGGTTTCATAAAGTATCTTCTCTTTGACTTAAAATTGAAATACAATATTCTCCTGTTGGAGGTCATAAAACTAATTCTGATCCCAATGGGCATGGGGAGATTAGAAAACGAGTAGAGGGAAAAGGAGACAAGAGTAAATCAGTGGCAAGAGTATCCTCCCTTCCCCATGCTATCATGGTTTCATCTCATCTTCCCCACGCTCTCCCTCAAATCCCAGCCCCGCCCATTAGAAAGAACATCACTGCTCCCTGATGTCTAATGAAAGACGCCTCCGTGGACTTGTTAGGACATGAGGAAACAAGCCTATTCTTTTTTGTATAAAAGTAACATTTTTAAGGAAAGAAGACATGAACAAATATTTAGTGGGGGTTAGCCTGAAGTACATGATCTTTTAATAAAAAATTGATAATGCCTCATTTTTATGAGCCATGTGGGAATTCTATCTTTCTTCTCCAAAACATGAGTCAAACCTCCAGTCTTCCTGTCGTATATCTACCATGTCACCATGGTTTTTCTTACCACTGATTTCAAATAGTGTCAAGACACTAGTTGTGAATTAAAGCAAAAGACGATTATTTCTCTTTATTTTTCTTTATGAAATATCTCTTCTCAAATGTATTTTCCATATTAACAGTGCTTGCATACCATGACCAAAGAAAGTAAATTTGGTATCACAGAAAATAATGACCCCTACCCAGATTATGTCTCCTCCCCCTCCCACCCCCGTTCCCCCCAGAAAAAAGCCAAACTTTCTACTGGAAAAACAGATTCAGTTGAGTCCAGTTCTGGGATATTCATGGGCTTGGAGGAAAGAGCTAAGGAGTCATGCTCTTTAAGAGTTAAAAGAGGGGCAACCTGTGGGTCATGACACATCAGTGGCTTTAAAATCAATCTATACATCACCACCAGCATTTCAAAAAATATATGGAATAAAGTAGTAGAAAATATCAGTATGTATAAAAATGTCAGCATGCACAGCATGGTGTAAGGGTAAGTACTGATTTGTGAACATCTGTGTGGTGTGTGTGAGTGTGTGTGTGCACTCACACTCATGTGTATATTGGATCTCAGTGTAAAAGGTAATTCTACTGTGGTCACAATATAAAAAGCTTTAAAAAAAAAAGCTCAAGAAATTCTAATCTAGGGCCCAGAATCTGGAGTCAGACAGAAGTGGGTTCCAACATGGCCCTGCCACTTACGCCATCTGTGGACTTGGTTAGGTGGCTTAATCTCTCCAGCCTCCTCACCTGAAAGATGGGCGTAACCATAAACCTAGGATTGTCATGCGATCAAAAGAGCAAGCATATGTAAAGCCATTGACACAAGGCCCCACAATGTTAACATCCATCCTTAGATAAATGCTCAATTCACAAATGCAAGCAGACATCAGTTAATTTACACTGTGTTCGGAAAGGACAAATCCAGTGTGAGAGATGTTCATCAATTAGACACTTGTATACCTTTTGTACTCTCCAAAGAGTTGGCCCTTCTGAAGGACTATCTATGGGGGCCATTTGATCCTTGTGAGACAGCTCTCTGAAGTTAGTATTCTAGAAATACATTCGGATTTCGGAAATCCTTTTTCAGCATGTAAGCACCAAACCAATGAAAAAAGTTCTGCTAAGTGTTTTCTTTCTCTTATGCAGAATTTATAAAAACAAATTATTCACATTTTGTGCTTCATTGTTACAATATAGCTTCTGACTCTCCAGCCAATGACTAATATCACATGTCTAAAGACCTTCAAAGATATCAGAATTATCTCAACTATGGAAAGAGCCAGACTCAAATAGATGACAAGATTCCTTATTTATAAATTTTGTAACTAAGCAAAAAACAAACAAAACAAGCAAACTTACATACTCAACATACAGATATTTTTTTTAAACGATAACATACACACTTCACAATCAAGTTCTTTCTATTCTTGGCATTTAGTTTGTGGAGTTACTGAATTCTGAGTGAAGAATAGGAAGAGATCCAGAAAGAAAGAGTGAGACCAAGAAGCCAAGAAATATAAGACAGTTGAAAGTAGGCAGCGGATGGAATGCTGAAATTGTCAGCAGCCTCTTGGATGCAGGTAGGGAGAGAAGAGTGTCAAATCAACAGGAAGTTTCTTATTTTTGGGTCCAGAGAAAGGAAATGGAGATTTGAATAAAAAAGAAAAATTGGGGGTGAAAGTTGATGAAAAACAACTCTGCTGATTATTGAAGGATTATCCAAAAAAAAATAACTGAGCCCAAAAAAGGATGAGGAGAGGGAGGCCGGTTCGGGTGTTCAAGCAGAGAAAATGAAATCAAAAGATATAGTAATAGAAATTTCCCAGGGTGCAGGCTACAGGACTGGGGAAGGCACAGATGTTTGGAATGAAAAATTCTTTGCAGAAAGTTTGGTCATAGACTTGGGGTAAAAATTAAGTTCTCTCTTAGAGATTTAAAGATAAATGGAGAAAATGCAAGTGAAGTATGACCAAAAGATTTGATTGATCTAACAGGAATATATGTAATGCCACGAATCTAGTATTTTATGAAACATTCAAGAGGAAATGAGAAGGGTTCCTACTGCATCATTCTAAAAATTGTTTTCCAGGAGTATGTTGATGAGAAATGTCACCACCTCCATTTTCATCCACAGCATATTCTCGATAAATAAGAGGACGCAGAAAGGGAGAGAGATTTTTCCCATGCCAGTGCAAGGATAGCTACCCTGATTATCCATTGTCAGTCCTAACTCCTGCATCGCCCCCAGGCACCATCAACAAGGCCTATGCATTTGCCATCATCGCATTTTCACTCACTTGCTCTGCCCTTCTGTCCATTTCACTGAGCTGGAGCTCCCAGCAGCAACTCTAGAAGAGAAGAAGAGGCGGGGGTGGGGAATGGAGCATGCATGGCTCTAAAAGCCTCCCAGAACCCAGAATCCAATGAGAAGTCACTACATACACAGAGATGTGAGGCTAGCTGTCTAGTCCAGAGTGCTGAACTAAGTCCCCAATCCCCCTGGAGCTGAGGGTGGGGTGAAAGGCCCCACAGGGAGGCTGGGAAGAACCTGGGCTTTTGGAATCAGATCTGGGCGTGGAATCTCAGCTCTGTCACTTCAGACAAAGTGAACTTGGGAACCTGAGCTTGATTTACTTCTTTGGAAAACAGGGTAACACTACTAGGCCTCATACTGTTGTTAGGAAGATTCGATGAGGTGACCTAAAAGATCACCTGATATACCGCAGGAGCTTGATGAGTGTCATATCCAATTGCCTATCAACTCAGACTTGCTAGAAAACTGAAAGCAACCAGGTTTGAGAACTTTGAGTCTGGATTGTCCAAATCATCATCTCTCAAATATAAATTTAGATCCTGAACTTTGCAAAGACAAAGCATTTTTTGATAAGTTAGAGTAGTAGTTAACATCTGTGATACCACTAGCAAAACATAAACATTAAATGAGGTTGAATGGACACAACTTCGAAGAACTCTAAAAAATTCAAAAGTAAAGGCCATATTAAGTTCTCCAAATATTCTCAACTCCCTTGTTCCAGACAAAAATATCCCCTATGTCTATGCCTGAAAATTTAATACTTGAACACAACCCACCAACTGGGGGTGGGAGAAAACACCTTGATTGTACAAAGAGCCTTGCCTATTCTTCTAAAAATGTACTCTTTTCATAACTTATAAGCATCTTTAAAATGGTTCAAATAGGTATAAGTTTCTGTTTAAGGAATAGAGAAGACCTTACCCCTTTAGTGTGGCTCCCAAGTTCATCTGATTCCAGGTCATGCATTCAAGCTGGGAGGTCATCTGGTATAAATTGTCACTGTTAGAAAAACATCCAGAGTTAGAAACGCATAGTTACAAAAAATAAAAATAAATGTGCCATTGTCTCTTGAAACAGCAATGGAGCTTTAACTCCGCTTTACAGTGGAAGCCTCCATGTTTTCCAGAATGACAGACCACAAGTCTGAAATAATTTTCATTTCACCCCGCTGATCTTTTGCACAGTTATTCACTTCACACAGCAGAAAGGATGTGAGAGTAATTTAGAAGCCTTTAAAAAAACCTTAGTATAGAGTGAATGTTGAAGTTTCTAAAGAGGTATTAAACCTTGGAAGGGAAGAGGCTAAAGGGAGTGAAACTTTGAAAGGCAACACAGGCTGGATAACTCAACATTAAAGTTAAAAGCCTGGAGCTGAAAGTAAAAAGACAGCAGATTAATTATTCGTGAAAAGGCCATTAAGTTGTTTTAATCAAAAGGATAAGTATCATGTGGATTATGAGGGCCTAAACGTCAGAGGGATGGGTGATGGATGGTCTCAAACTCAAGGACGTGACAAGGAAGAGAAAGAGGATGAACTATGCACCACGAAAGGAATCATTTTCTATAAATTTTTTAATCCTGGTACAAGTTAAATGGAGCTTTTTTTCTAAAAGCCTCCAACCCAGTTTTATAAAGCTGGATAAGGTAAAACAATGGCTGATCACTTACATTAAGACCCCAAAGGAGAAATACATTATCATGTAAACCAATCAAAAATTGTTCTCTCCCTTTTACTTTGCACATACAACTGTTATAAACATCTCTATTACATGTGCTTTTAAACATTACTCTAAATGCATTATAGAAGAGCTATCACAGCCATGCCCTGAAATAACACCCCAAAGTATCCTGCATGTTCGACTCTTTTAAGCATCTTTATTACAGGTTTTTTAATTTTCATCAATTCATTCATTTTCTATTTATCTCATTCCTAGAAAACTAGAAGATAAATCAATCATCAGGCATCTCCTAAAATATCCAAGCTCTATTAAGAATGAATTTAGTCCTGAACTGAAATGGTTAATTATGAAATGTGAAACCCAAGAGATGAATGGTTTGTTTGGGAGCCCTTGGTCTAAACACATTACAGACATTACAGAACACTTTCGCTCCACCTTCACGGCAGACTGTGAACAAAGGCTAAGAAGCTTTCAATATTTAATGTGCGATATCAGATTGCAAATTCTGGACAATCTCCGTCTTGTCATGGCATTCCTTTGGGTTGCCTTCATCCATCGGGCCGGGGCAACACCAGTTTAATTATGAGAAGGTTTAGTCAGGCCAACCAAACTGGGAAATTACAGCAACTCGGAATAAATGAATACTGTGCTCTCTCTTGGCACAGCTTGATAAATCAAGGTAGAGTACATCTGCCTCTCATATAATCACTCTGAAAATTATTTTGAAGATAACACAGGATAAGGAGGAAATCAGAGTCCAGAAGTGAATTTTACATATGAAATGAGAAGTGACTTCAATCTCAAAGTATGTGTAGTTTCATTAGTCAGTGTATGTCTGGACCCCATCATTCATCCCCATGTCTGACTGGCTATTATGCTACTACAATATCCTACATATCAATGAGAAAAAAATGATTAGTTTCTCCTGCAGCTTCCCGGTTTGCAGCAGCGGCCGGTGCTGGTCTGTGCCACTACGTTTCTCAATTCCATGAATTCTTGCTGTAAGGCCAGTGTAATTAATTCCTGAAGGACCCCAATTTTTATTAGAAGTGCCAGCCTGCTACATTTAAACACAGGAGAGTTTCTTGAACTTTCTTTGGGTTGACAGTTCATTAATAAGCAGCCTCCTCCACAATCTCTACTGGTTTTTGTTCTCCTGCGCCTTTTCATCAAGCAATCCATTTATTAATCTTGCCATTAATCTCAGCCAACAGGCATTGTATTCCCCAGGCAGCTCTATATATTTGTCACTAATTTTTAAAAAGTTGTTCACCAGTTGAATCACTCAGCTCCAGCTGACAATTTTCCTAGGCCCTATAGGGATGTGTGATCTTTCTAAAATTATTTCATCCCTGCACAAAACTAAGAAAGTCCTAATTTCTAAGAGGGCTGAGAAACAAGATGAATGGCAGAAGTTTACACATATGGGTTAATGAGTCCCAAATATTGTTTAGGAATTTTCTCACAGAATTAAAATCCAATAGATTCCTAAGGGTCTCTGTATGGAAGTACCCGAATGAGAAAATATTTTAAGGACATTTTCTTGGCCCCCAATACAAAGGTATGTCTTACATATAGGTATCTTCCTAGTAGGTGCTTAATAAATATATTGCCCTGTCCAATATGGTAGTCACTAGTCACATGTGACTATTGAGCACTTGAAATATGGCTAGTGCCACATGTTGAAATAAGATTTTACTATATTGAGTTATATAGAATATTTCAAAATTAATTTCACTGTTTTTTTTTAATTTGGCTACTAACAAATTTCAAATTATGTATTGACTTGCATTATGTTTCTGTTGGACAGTGTTACTCTGTAAGTTTTAGAATATTGAGCAAATCAATTCAGTTCTTTGCACCTCAGTTTTCTTATCTGTCAAATGGGAATATTAATCTCAATCAATCTAACTTTGCAGAGATGTTGTAAAGCTCTAATAATGGTTCTTGGAGGCCTATACAGATAAAATATTTTAATTTTATGATCATACAGGTTTCAGGTATGGGTTTCTATATGATCATATTAACCAATGTCACCCCAATAAATTTAATAAAAAAAATTAAAGCAAACAAAAATATTTTAATTTTTCTAACCAAACAAATTTTGCACAGCACTTCCATACATCTCGAATATTCTTCACAACAGTTTTACTGGTATGTGGTAGTTATAATTATGATTCCCATTTATCAGAGGAGGACCTGGGCTCAGAGAAGTGCCTAGTGCTGACTTTCCTGATGTCCCTACCTCCACCCTGCCCAGCCCCTTTGAAAGCTTCAGACATCATTTGGCCTCTGAGCCTTGTCCTCTCATTGCCATTTAAATAATAGTAATAATAATGTAATAATAATATAGACAAGAGGCTGGAAGTGAAAGAAACATACATAAGAAGGCATCATAACCTATTTTATCTCCAGAAAGTGACAAGATGCAAGATGCCCAACACATCCTCTTGAGCTAACCAAGGACAGTGTGCCAGTAGAAGCCCAACTTCTTGATTTTAGTGGTCCTAATAGCCCAGCTTACAAATCCTCAGAAGGGGAGAGAAGGTGGGATGGGAAGAAGAACTTACAGAAAATCCCCCAAGCTACTAATAGGTTTCCTGAGGCCAGCGATAGGATCACAGCACAATTTCAACCACATCCTGCCTTCTCTTGGCTGGGAGTCCCCAGCAGCTCAGTCAGTAGGCTTGGCTGGCACAATCTTTCAACTGGAAGTCAACGACAGCAATGACAATAACTGCTGCTGGGGAGAGGACAAAATATGAACTGGAGCTAAAAATACTGGGCCCGGGCATGCTCAGGCTCCGATCTCTCTGGGCAATCGGTCAACACCCAGCTCTCATTATGAAAACCCACAGAAAGAGGCAGCACTGGTCAAAGAATATACAGCCTCTGACAAATAGTGCATCTAATTATTAAATAACCACTGTAGGTGTCAACCGCCTCATTCCCAGAGGAGATCAGATAAGCAGGTGGTTTGGCTCAGAGCGAACACAGTGGTCACGTAGGCATTTCAGCTCCCGGTCTAACTCTGTCTGTTCGGAAGTGAACTCTGAAATTGCAGGCTGCCAAAATATATTCTGAAAGTCATGCTGTCCTTTATATTTTTGTAAGTGGGTCTTTTTTTTTTAAGTTACTTGTTTCCTATGAAAGAAATGTTTGAAGTTGGAGGCAAAAGAGAGAGGAAAAAAACTTCTATAACTGGGATTAATGCAAGCTGGAGAAAAATAAAAGGAAGTCCGTCCTAGCAAAAAGGGGAACTTAAAAGGAAATCAGTAGTAGATCATATAGAGTTTATTTTGGCCTGGACTGCAGTATTACTGAGTTCTCGACCTCTGCACAAAAAGAAAGGAAGAAGAAAACCCTCAGCTATTATCTGGACTGAACCTCCTCCACTCTTCAAATACATGTGTAATTCAAGTACATTTTCATCTTTAAGTGTGTTTACTATATTCAACAGAACAAGGTAGAAAAGTACCTATCACCACTGGAATGGAACCACTGAACCTGGTTGAGATTGGAGTTACCTCTGCCAGATGTTTGCTAGTTGGTAAAGTAGCATCTTTTTTCTCCATTACAGTTTACATTCGATGTTATTTTGTATTAGTTTCAGGTGTACAGCATGTACCAGCATAGAGGTTAGACAATCATATACTTTACAAAGTCGTTCCTGTGGTATTTCTTTCTAGTACCCACCTAGCCCCAGACATAGTTATTACAATATTATTGACTATATTCCTTATGCTGTAATTTACATCCCTGTGACTATTCTGAAACTACCAATTTGTCAATTTGTACTCCTTAATCTCTTCACTTTTTTCACCCAGCCTTCCCAACCTCTCTGAAAAGTAGCATCTTGGTAGAAGAATTTCCCCATAGGATGATATTTTTTAAAGCCAAATAAGAAAATGGCGACTATAACTGGCATTCGTGATCAGAATTCCTAATGTTTCCAGCGTTTGCTATCATCGCTCTGCCCCACACTGACAGAGAGGCCTCTGTGGTTTCACCTGTACCTGATAACGAAGGCTCAAGAACCAGACTTTCCCGCTGCCCTTTTCCTGAGTTCTTCCCTCTGAGGCGCCTTGGAGGCTGCCAGTTGAGAAATTTCTGCCCAGCAGGCCATGGTGAATAATTATTTTACAGTCAATCTTTTGGTATTGTAATTTCTCTCATGCTCACCAGTTAACCAAAGAAAAACCCACTGGGGATTCAACTTCTATTAATAAACACTTGGTCAGCACAAAAGTTGAAGGAATATTTGAAACTAGATTTTCCTCTCTCCCTGGAGACACGTCCAATGCAAGCCCTTGGCTTTGA